CCTTGCTCATTGTCATGGGGGTGGGGGTTTAGGAAAAGGGTACCCCTACCTTGGTCCTCAGCCCTTGCCTCAACTAATTTTGCATAATCTTTTATTCTCCATTCCTTTCCCTTTTCTTCATCCCCTTGCTCTGTCCACTGATCCTATTCGTTTTTGCCATAATACTTTATTATAATGCTCCCTACTCCCTAAACTCCTTCCCCTTCTAACAACTTTTACCTTATACTCCATCCCACCAGCTCCCCCTTTCCACCATTTTCACCCTCTAGTACTGTTCACCAAGTAACTTTACCCTAATCATTAATTCCTTCCTAACACATTTTGCTACTATACTTTACCATGGCATCATGACTTTTGATGTCATATAGCACTTCCATACCGGAGGGCTTTCCCTCCAAACCTCTCCCTATTGCTAGGTTTTGAATATGCTACTAATGACCTTGGATATTGACACTGCAAAAAAATTTCAATGGATAAATAAATACTCCCCTAGTCCCTTGTTTGTTGCTGCCATGGGGGCTTAGCAGAAGGGGACTGAGGCCCAATGTAGGGGATCACCCCAACCATGGTCCTTAGCCCTCACATCAACTAATTTTGCATGTTTTTTTCTTCATTCCCTTCTGTCCACAATCAATTGTTAACTCATATTTATCCTTTTCGCCACAATACTTTATCATAATGCCGTATGATTTTGTTTGTTTTGACCATTAACCCATTCGCGCCGGGTAAAAATGAACAAAAAACGGGGGAAAATTCTGTGCTCATTTCTTATACTTTTTATGAAATTTTTCTACACTAGATGGCTCTGCCTTACCTGATTTCATTTGGCGGGAAAATGTATTTTTACTAGTACAATGAATATCGATGGTTATTTTTATTATAAACATTATAATTACTATAATGTTAGTAGCAGGAAAGTAAGATAAAGTATAATATTTTCGTAAATTAAAGAAAAGGGTAAACAGGCGAGACAGGCAGTACAAGTACAAGTGCAGCCATCTATGTGTAAAAACAATTAAACAAGTAAACTCACAGTGGTCCCGTCACATATATGGGACACCCGGCGTGAATGGGTTAACCATTTTGGAAATCCACAAATATCGTCTTATTGAACCCAATAACTTCCCTACTTGGGGTGATGCTGCTAATGACCTTAGATGACATGGCAGAAAATTGTCAATAAATAATCACTTGTACTGTATCTTTGTTGTACTGCACAAATGAGGATATGCACGGTACTGAAAAGAAAGTAATTTTTCAGATTGGAAATCAGGATGGTCTCATTTAGAGAAGTCCTCTTTATAAACTTAAATTTTGTATTGATGTCGTGTCATGTAATTGATCAACTATTTTCTGAGCATTCCATGCCAAGTAATTATTAGGATAATTGCCATCACAATATAGCTATACAACATTGTACAACTAAAAAAAATACTTCTGACTTACAAGAAAAAAAAAGCACTGTGCAGATCTTCAATGGCCACAAAAGAACAACCAGAGACAGAGCAGGAAGGAAAAACCTCTTTGGGTTGCATCTCACTCCTTGTCTGGATAACCTCAAACATGTGTCTTAAGAATGTGAAATATAGTATTAAATTCTTGAGAAATTCAAGTTGTAATAATTTTTATCATGATTGCATGATTTCCTAGAAATTTCACGTCTCTTCTCTAGAAAGTTGATGCCAGAAGATTCAAAAACACCATCTCAAAATTGATGGATATTTTTTGGCAGTTTTGAAGAGTGGTCCACTGAATGCAAGAAAAGTAAACTTCCAAGTGGATTGAGTTTACTGTACACACTTATCTACATAGTTCCTAACACACAGCAGCTAAGGATGAATCTGACAATCCTGTTTTTTTAACTGCAGATCTGCAACAGTAAATATTTGAAGTTCTTAATTGTCTTATTTTCCATTGTTTCTCTTCAACCAAAATATGTAGTAGTAATCAAGTCTAAAACCGAGGAAACGATGCATTTGTTATATTCTTCTGTTATCTTAAACATTGTTATAGTACAGTAGTCTTGGTTATGAAAAATAATCTAGAAGTGCTTGGAATTATTTAGCTCCCTGACAATGGGTCAAGTACATTTACTTGCCACATTATAATCTAAATTCATCAACCAACTACAAAAGAAAACAAATGTAAAGAATGTCATAGTATAGCATAGAATTTGAAACTTCAAATGATGGTCAGTTCTAAGAACACATTGGCAAAATGGTTATGTAATTAGTGTGTGCATAATTTCCATTATGTTATTTTGCAAGAAAGTCTGGGTTTAAAGAGTATATCATTACCCTGATGCTGCTGGGGATGGCATGTAAGTATTTATTAATTGAAAATTTTCTGCTACATCAACATTTAACCCATTCACGCCGGGTGTCATGTATATGTGACGGGCCCACTGTGAGTTTACTTGTTTAATTGTTTTTACACATAGATGGCTGCACTTGTACTTGTACTGCCTGTCTCGCCTGTTGACCCTTTTCTTTAATTTACGAAAATATTATACGTTATCTTATTTTGCTGATACTGACATTATAGTAATTATAATGTTTATAATAAAAATAACCATCGATATTCATTGTACTAGTAAAAATACATTTTCCCGCCATATGATATCAGGTAAGGCAGAGCCATCTAGTGTAGAGAAATTTCACAAAAAGTATAAAAAATGAGCACAGCATTTTCCCCCATTTTTTGTTCATTTTTACCTGGTGCGAATGGGTTAAGATTTAAATGGTTGACAGTATTGAGCTATGTACCAAGAAAAAGGGAGCATTGATGGTCATTATAGAGAATTCTTGTGCAGACTACAAATTCTTCCTCAAATATGGTGAAGTTGATTTTTTTGTGATAGCTAGAGTATCAGAAATGGCCTCTAGTGGATGGTGAGTATAGCAGTGAAGAAAAAGCCTTACACTGGGGCAGGCTGTTTCATTACTCTTTTACTCATGTTTATGTAAATTTATTGGTTTCTTCCATTAATTTTCTCTAAATTGTAGTTTTGTGTTCATTAATAATCATTGCAGGTAAGTTTTTTTTTTCATTTTTGAAAGGCTAGAACTACTGTTGGTTTGTAACAGATGACTCAGTGGTTGATTTTTAAGGACAGTAACATACGAGCACAGTGCAGTGCCTCTTTTCAATATTCATATAACTACATGATTACTCTTATAGTTATAGAATGGGAAAGCAGTTTTCAATTATATTTTCCTTTTGTGATTATCTGCCACATTTGTTGTATTCCTGGGTTTTGTGGATGTCAGGTAGCAGTTTAGAGGCTGTCAGCTTTCATGTATATAATTTTGGAGTTGGTTTTAAAATTTAATGGTTAAAAAACAAAAACAAATAAAAATCCAGATAAGAATTATGTGGTGTATATATATTTCATTTAAACATATTATAGATATTTACAAAATGGACACCAAGGTTTTCTTGCATTCCGTAACTCTGCAAGGAAATATGCAAAAATTACAATAAATACTAACACCTGTTTTGAGCCAATTATAAGGAATCTCAGATGCTCTCTGAAGCAAAAGAAATGACACTATTCTCATAAACAGGTTTTCCTCTTTAGATGATGATCTCAGTGTCTCCGAGCTCCTCGTCTTCTGGCAGCTGAATTTTGTCGATGCTGATCAGGTTCGGGTCGATCAAGGGAAGCCCCTCGGCCTCTCGTCGTCTCAGCTCTAGGTAGCCCTCACGTTGCGCCCAGTCAACCATTCTGAAACACAGGGAAGGCTTGGTCAGAGGGCTTTCTGTAGTAAATTTCCCTGAACTGGAGGATTCTAAGAACACGAGTTTTGAAGTTTTGGTCACATACTTTTATATTTAACAAGACAATGACTCTGTGTATTCTCTTATTGTATGGAACAGCGAGGATCTGCACACCTAAAAGCAGGGATTCTTAACCATTTAACAATTCTAGACCCCTAACGGACTGCCAGTATGGTTCCATAACCCATTCATTTGATTGTCCAAGGCATTGTCACCAGTCCTATTGGTTGCTAATATGACTTCCAAAGATGTCAACAGCTTGGATATATTTTAGCTATGGATTGTAAGAAATAGACCATACACACAATTTTTTTTTTAATACTATAATTTATTTTTAAAAAGTGCTAATTTGTGACAAAGGGTGAAGTACCAATAGTAATTTATAGTTATTTTGTTCTGGTTTTAAAATATGGAATAACAATGCTAGTTAATAATCTAACATTCTACCCCTAATATTAAATACCCCCAAGCACTTAGAATCCTGCCCTAAAGAATGGAAAAAATCAAGTCTCATATGCACACAATGTGGTAAATAAATGATGTTTAAGAGTGTATAATGAAGAAAAACAGAAGATGACTTTTACTGCTCACTGTCCCTTGCACCACAGACTTAAAAACAACAATGCTGGGTAATAGTGCTCACAAGAGGTGAACCCCACATGTAATAAACTAATGGATAGGGTCTTTTACTATCTTTTAACCTTAATAATGATCACAAATTCTTACAGCAGTTTCCACACAGAAAAAGAAGAAGAAAAAGGAAAAAATCAGGACAACCTTTCAGATATAACAGAAAACTAATGAGTTTATCCTAATTAATATTTGGATCTAATGAACCAATAATTCAATACATCTGTACCTGTAATCAGGCAAGTAAGCCCAGATGAAGCCACCAAACACAAGGCACAGCGTGACAGAGCAGAAGAAGGTCAAGTGCATCACCGTGTTGTCCTTGGTCTCTGACTCATAGCTGAAGCCCCAGCTGATCCAGTTCTGCAGGGGAGGAAGACATTAAGAACCACTGAAGAGCAAGTGGTGAAGGAAAGAGAAGGAGTAAGGCATAAAATTATCAATAACCTTGGATGTGTTGTGGCAGAATACTTGTCTTGATTCTAAATATAAAAAGTGAATATTATTACTGTAAAATGCATTCAATATCCTTTCAGCATGAGACAAATTAAAGACAAAGACAGACACATTCAGTATAATATTAGCAGAAA